ACCTGACAAATATAGTGTATGCCTCCTGTCTTCTTTCCTTCACCGTAATGTCTGCCTGGTTCATCCACGTTGTTGCATGTATCAGTCAGTAGTCACTCCTTATTGCTGAGTAGTATTCCAATGAACAGATAAACCAGTCTCTTTATCCACTCACCATGATGGACATTTGGGTTGTTTCCAGTTTGAGAAAATATGAATAAAACTGCTATAAGCATTCATGTACAAGTTTCATCACATGCTTGAGCATAACACTGAGGAAAAGGGATACCAACTGTCTCATGGAAGGATTATGTGAACAAACTAGAGGCCCGATGCAGGAAATCCATGCAAGAGTAGGCCTTCCTTCCCCCAGCTGCCGGCACCAGCTTCCCTCTGGCACCCGGGACCCAGGCTTCCCCCACAGCCCCGGCTTCATCCAGGACATCTGGTCTAATTAGCATATCATGCTTTTATTATTATAGAAGATGGTGGAGAAAGAGAAGTGGAGAGAGGACTCACTGGGCTATCTGTGACTCTCTCTGTATTCCAAAGTCCTAAATAATGAGATAGCATTTCTGGAAACAAAGTGAAAACCTCAACTTACCTGGGATTCACACAGTCCAACAGCCATTCTTCCTTCCTTCTTCAATTTTCTCTTTTGGAGAACAAAGTCCTGAGAAGCGACAGTTAAGAAAGAAAAAGTGGCAGACCATCCCTATGTTGCTGATCTTAGACTTACAAAGATAGAGCTATTGCCCATGTTGTGATCCCCACAGCCTCAGCCCTACTCACTTCCAAGATCTGAGAAAGAGGCCAAAACTGATATTAATCCCTAAAGTTATGACTAATAAGAAGAATATATAGCCTGAATTCACCAAAATCTAAAATCCATCCTATGGCTAACAAGGAAGTATGATCTGGTCATGGTTGGCCCTTAGACCTCATTTTCCCCTTGCTCACTCCACTCTAGGCACACAGGTTTCCTTACAGTTCCTCAAACACTGTGTGCAGTCTTTCTTCAAGGCTGCTATTGCTTTTGCTTTTCCTATTGCCTGGACATGCCTCACTCCCTGTTTTCATTTCTATCTGTGCTCAATTGTCACCATATCAGAGGGACTTCCAGTCACTTTTTCCTTATTTTGATTTATTTTTCTTCTTAGCATTTAACACGCTCTAACATAGTACTTATTTTTTTCCCTACTTACAGTTGTCTTTCCAATCAATGGTGAGATATAAGAGAGCGAGGATTTGTTGGGTCCACTGGTATATCTCTAGTGCTACAATAATGCAAAAATCATTATTAAGTTCTCAAAAAATATTTGGTAAGTGAATAAATAAATCTTACTGTGACTCCTGTAATATGTAATATGTTGTATTTATCATTAACTTATTTAATCTTCACAAAACTGCAAAGATAGTTGTTATTATCACCATTTTACCAACAAGTGAAATTGAGGTTCAAAAAAGCTTAAATAACTAACTTGAAGTGATAAGAGTCAGACTATACTGTGACTCAAGCACTGGTTCTCTTTTAAGAGACCACAGTGCTTGAATGGAAAATATTCAATATAAACTGAGAAATCAATGCCATATATTTCTTAGAGAAGCAGCTTTCAGGATGGTATATGTTACCTCTATTATTCTACAGAAATGAAGCCTAAGGCAATCATTGCCAAATTTTAACACTAAACCAATAACAAACTCCATACCTCAAATATGTTCCTTGTACTCTCAGAGCCATCATTTCTCTATTCTGAAAACGAGAATAGTTATGCTTAACCTAAAATTTAGGATACATGACACCCTAATTCTGGGCTACTCTGCACTAGCCAACTCAGTCTCTAACAAAGTTACTTCCTTAGTGCGATGCAGCTTGAAATTGTCCATAAAAGCCTTTGTAATCTGAGAGGAAAATCAAAGTCTTCTCAGCATCTGAGAGCCCTAAGTAGCATCTGCATAAAAGAAATGTATTTTAAATTTTTATTTGCAAAAAAGCTGTGTATCCTTTGGGTAATATTTTCCAAGTTTGAGATGAGCCATCTAAAAAAAAGCTGTATTAAAGACTTGAGCATTATATAGCCCACAACCTGCTCTCAGACTCTCTACTCCTTCACTCATTGTCTATATGACCTTGGACAATTTAATCCACTTCTCAGAAACTTTTTTTCCTTACTGTCAAGATTGCATGAGCCCAACTCTTGGCATACAGAAGTGATCCTTGTTTCCACATAGATTCTCATACACATTTGGAAAGGAAACGAGAATATTTTTATTTATTAACTGAGAAAGTCAGAACCAAAAATTTAGCTCACTTAGTACATCAGAAAAAGAGCTGTGGATCAACCTCTCTCAGTGCCAAACATGAAAGAGTATGACGAGGAAAATGTTAAAATCTCCAATTCCATGGCCAAAGGAGAGGAAGACTGAGCTTTCAGGTTTCGATTTCCCATTGCACAGGCAGCCAATTTGAGGATGGTATCACTACACAGACTGGGTTCTGTGATTCACAAAGGGACTGAAGGAAGAGAACCACATTTAGTTCTTATGTTCCAGAGGTTCCTAGTCCAAGACCACCGACAATACTCTCCAATACCCTTAGAACCCAGGGCCTCTATTTTTTACTTTAGTGATTAAAAGCAAGGACTCTAGAGCAAGGATGGGCAACCCCTGGCACGCGTTCCAAACATGGCACACCAGTAACTTTTGCTGGCATGCAAACCCCTCTCTTATAATCTTCCATTTACAATTGTGAATCTTTGTTCTCAGTGATGAATTTTGTTAAGTCTCGTAATAGGAGTAGCCTGACAGATGAAAGTAGTAGCTCTGAAGGTCACAAAAATATAAACCTGATGTAAAATCTCTGTCATTAGTGATGCAGCAGCAGAAGTCCCACTGATAATATCAAAAGGAGTCATAAAGTTTTCTATCGGACTATCAGTGTACATATACACTTTAAAAAATAAATGTATTTTTCATCATCATATATTGTGTTTTTGTCGCTCGAATGAATTTTATTATTTCTTCAAGGTTCTTCACATACGTACACCTTAAGAGATATCAATTAGGCGTAACATGTTCTCAAAAGATTAGGGTTGGCATGCAGAAGAATTTTGAGTCAGAGATTTTTGCTGGTTTTGGCACGCACTCACAAAAACGTTGCCCACCCCTGCTCTAGAGCTAATCCCAGTTTTGTCAAATATTAACTGTGTGAACCTGGGCAAGTGATTTTAATCTTCCTGTAACTCACAATCACAAGCTGAATCACACACGCATACCAATTCTCACCTAGTCACACCCATAATGTCATACACAAACATAGTCACATTAACACAAAGTTAGAGATGGTGATAACACAATTACTCTGACAGACACACACACACAAACACACACACACACACACACACACACACACACACACGGTGACACAAAATCACATTCTAGCCCTGACCAGTTTGGCTCAGTGGATAGAGCATCAGCGAGTTACCAACATCAATGAGAGAGAAACATCGATCAGCCGCCTCCTGCACACTCCCCAGTGGGGATGTGCTCGCAACCAAGGTACATGCCCTTGACCGGAATGGAACCCGGGACCCTTGAGTCCACAGGCCGATGCTCTATCCACTGAGCCAAACCGGTTAGGGCAATAAAATATTTTTTTTTTTAAAAAAATCACATTCTATCACACCTGTAGCCTGTCACACAGTCACCCAATGACACCCACCTGGTCGTCGTCCCGTCCCAGGTGGTCCACCCCAGCTCACCTCTTGCTCCCGCGTAAAGCCAGGCCTAGCTCACCTCCCAGCACCGCGGGTTCTGGAAACGTGAGGAGCCACCCGAGGCCCGCGACGTCGTCTCCTAGAATCCCCAGTGGCGGGGAGAAGGGCCGGAGGCTGAGGCGCGCTGGACCCCAGAAACCGGCTGGGGAAACATGCAGCTGCACGGGCTTAGACTGTCTCAGCTTTTCCTTGACACTCAGCGAACCACCAGCCCCAGAAGGCTTTGCGCAGCAACGTTCTTTGCTAAACTACATTTCCCAGAGGGCCCAAGGCCCGCCTCTACTTCGCACTGGCGTTACAGGCGGCCTTAGGTGCGGTATCGGAGAGCTGAGTACCTCTCAGGACGACACTGGGCACTCAAATGACCCTGAGCGACTGCGTGTGAGGAAACGGTGATGCTGCGAGTGTGTGTGATTGTAAGCTTAGGTGTGGCCGTTGTTTTATGTGTCTGTCGCTGCACACTTTGTGCTTGCGCACAAGGGGCGACGGGTTCTGTTGGTGCTGAGAGCTTCTGAATTTTAAATCACGCCCTGCGATTGGGAGTCGTTGTGTGACAGACTGCGGGTCTGTCGCGCGGAGAATGTAAGTAATTGTGGTTTTGTGAGAGTACTGTGGCTGACTTTGGGTTGACCGGTTTTGTAACTGTGTTGTTATTCTAGAGGTCGCAGTTTACCCGCGACGGGGTGGAACTTTGTTTCTAGTCTTGTCTTTAAGGGCGAGTCCCAGGAAGAAGTCCTTATGTGTCTCAGTGTGTAACTGTTCACAGATCTACCTAACTGTTCTTCCATCCCCATCCCTCACCCCAGCCATAGGCGGGGTCACTGTTATCTGCATTTTTATATCCCTTTTCTACTTGCACCTGATGTGATGTGAGCACAGAGAGTAGGTAGATTCCATTTGTAGGAAGATGCTCATTTGCACCAAAGCCATTTATGTTGTAGCCAGTAGCTCTGGAGTTTCTCCTGTTACTGCTTCCACCTTTTCATTTTACAACTTTAGTGTCCAACTTTAAGAAACTGCCCCCCCCCCCTTTACGCGCACGCAAAAGAAGAAAGTGCCCCCAGTCAGGAGGACAAACTCGAGCCCCTGAAGTGATGTTAAAAACAGAGTTGAACAGTAGTTGA